GGTTTTTCGAGACAGGGTTTCTCTGTGTAGCTTTGCGCCTTTCCTGGAACTCACTTGGTAGCCCAGGCTGGCCTCAAACTCACAGAGATCCTCCTGGCTCTGCCTACCGAGTGCTGGGATGAAAGGTGTGTGCCACCACTGCCCGGCCAGAACATCTATCTATCTATCTAATCCATCCATCCATCCATCCATCCATCCATCCATCCATCCATCCATCCATCCATCTGTCCGTCCGTCCATATATCTCTTGTTTTCTCTCCACTTTCAGACTTCTCAATAACACAGTCCCAGTGATGTTCTACTCATTTGGGTCTACGCTGCTACAAGAGGACACTTTTTTCCTGAAAGGTCTACAGCTTGGAATGTGGATGAACCTTCTGACTTTTAGACATTGACACTTGGAATGTGTCACATTAACTGACAAGTAGTCAGTCATGAAGGAAATTGCAAGGGTGAAAGACAGAGGCAGCCTGCTGGACTATGAAAAAGGACAGTCATTGCAGAGTTTTGCCAAGAACTAGAAAACATGCAAGATATGTATACAGGTACTGCTCTACTGAGCTGGGCGTGTAGCTGCATGCTACAGCATTAGCTCAGTATAAAGGAGGTCCTGAGTGAAAGTTCTGACACCTCATGTGAATGCAGGAGGAGAGCTCTACAGGCTCCAGGGTTAATTTCAGTAAGGACTAACAGACACTGTCATAGTAGTACTTTTTCAGGCAGTTAGAATAAGAAATGTATATAAATGCATACTACAAACATGCCAAAATACAGTCTATAAACCCACCAGTCAATGACAGAAAAGAATGAAAACAATCTAAACCAAAATGAGGAAACACAAGATTTCCCCATATTTTAACAAAAGATCACATTCCTGTCTGAGAAGATTCACTGAGATGAGAAACTGGTTGTTCTTTCCATACATACAGAAGAAAAATAAATACTATGTTTTTTCATGTCACCAGCACTCAGTACCAAAAAATGTCTTCCTTCTCCAGGTGCTGTACTCTCTATTTATCCTGATCTCAGACTCATGCTTGGCAGAGAATGCTAGAAGCCCAGGAATCTGCAGAGACTGTTACAAAGAGGAAAAAGCATCAATAACTGTCACACTCATTATACTTGTAGATGATGAGAGAGGGCGGCCAGACTCAATGGCTAACAACCTCAATACTGTAAGAAGGGAGGCAAGATAAAAAGAATGCCCACATGTCTGAATCCAGAGTGAGACACACAGTGAGTTTCAGAATAACAGGGGCTACAGAGACTTGTCTATCTCAGGAAAACAAAAGTCAAGCAGGAGAGAAAACAGCCAGAGGTATACGGGTCTGGGCAGCAAAAGAGCAACAAGTTTGAAAAAGGTAACATGTGCAGCAAGGTTCACCATCAGCCCCTCAAGCGTTTGCTTCAATGACCAGCACCCTATTACAAGCATCTTCACGATGAACAGAAGACCACTGCTTCTGGAAGTTCACCATGATACTGCCCATCACTGTAAGGATATAGGTTCTCACTTGTCCAAGGATCAAACCCTACCAAAAAGGGGTGAAAAGCAGAGAAGAGAGATGTGAGTCCTGCCTGGAGCAACACAGACTATGGAAGGCCTCTAGGGGAAGACACCCGAAGAGAAGATTCTTAGAGTTGATCATCCAAGGTGGACTCAATGCACTCAGTCCTGTCCTTCAACAAAGTCACAAAGGAGACCTTTGATCTCTTCCTTGGGTCATGGACAGATGCTGAGAGCCAATAAATCAGATCAAATGAAACTGTTTCTCACCTGAGTTCCCTCCACCTAGGTGTTCACCTCCTTCCTGCCCAAGACTACTGACTGTATGTACAGTGCATGCTCATGGGACACAGTCCGCTAGAAGGTGATACCTCAAAGAAACAGTAGACACAGCCTCAACATGGAACCTTATAAAAAATACTCTGCCAATACCCTAGAGTAAACCTCATCGGAAGGGAGTCTTCCATGCCAGGATTGCCTTATTTCACTAGCACTCACCTCTACCTCCATGGTTACTGTTGGTCTCCTGACATCCTATCCAACCAAGCCCATCTTTTAGCTCAGAATCTGACCTTCCCATTGGCTGCTGCCCCGTTTATGACATCATTGTCCCTCCAACACTACCACCAACTTGGGGTTTCCATGGAGATGCCTGTAAACAAATTTGGACCATCACAGGTCACCTGTGACCAGTGACCAATAAGTGTTGTCTGATACCAGACACACTTCCCACTGAGGTCAGCTGATCAGACAAGGACAATCAATTATCTTCCTCCATTGTACTGTGGATTGCTGATACTCTTCCTCCAACCATGGCAGGTAAGGAAAGAAACTTTAAAACATTTCTTTTGAACACGTCTCCCCTTATTTTTACCATTCTTTTCAATCTTTGTTTTGGGGATACCACTTGTGCTGATAGTGATATCTTGAATTGAATGTCACAATTAGGTTTGGTTCTGACTCGGTATGTGAGCTTGGACAGAGAGTTTAATCTCAAGTGTTTTCCATCAACCTCAGGGAGATGAGATTGTCACTAAGCTCTTGGCTCTGTATTGTCGAGTCTCAAGAGGCAAGGGAATATAATCAGGCCCTTCTTGATGATGCTAAATTCAAGAGACACAGGAAAACAAACAAGATGTGCAGAGATCTAGCACTCCTTAACAAGAATGGGACAGACTCCCTCACATACTATTTCCCATTTATTGTTTCAAGTTCAGGGCTGCTCTAAATGTAATGTTCACACCAGGAACAGTGATGCACACTTGTAATCACAGCATGTAGAACTTGAAGGGATGAAGTTCAGTTCAAGTGTAACTTGGTCTACATTGGCCTGTCTCCACATTCACCAAAATAAATATTAAAAATAGACAAAGAGAATGGCTGCCATATTTTTGGAGTTATTGGACTTCCCTAGATTAAAAAAGGAAACTGGGAGAGACTTAAAAGGCATGGATTCTCAGAAGGCAGTTATTGTAGTGGAAGATATATTGAGGGAGTTACATGTAAGACAGACACACAGGAAATTGGGGAAGAAGAAAATAAAGTATGAGGAGTGAGAAAATATAGATATACAAGAAGGCACACTGCAGAGTGTCCCTGGAGGCACACAAAGGTAGTTTGGAACAGAAGGTTGCAGACAACCACAGATGTTAAATCAAAATAACACAAGGCATTGTATACATTGTACGTATATACATTTTATAATTCCCAAGCCATGTACAGGCAACCACTCTGTTAAGATCAGTCTGAAAAAGGTTGCATGTCACATACACAAAACAATATCCTGCTCTGTTTCCAGCCATCGAGCTAAATTCTGCAGCATCCCCAGTGTCAAATGGGCACTGGTGGTATTGGATATTGACAACTGGGGCTGGGCACTCTGACAGACAGTTGTACACTGCACTATGACAACTGGCATGCCATTATGTGGGAGCAATTCTCACAAGGGTTCCTCACTAGAAGAGTTATACGAAATTGACAGTAACTGAGGCACTGGCAAAAAAAAAATTGTCCAAGAGTTAAATTTTGAAACAATCTAATTCAGAACGCAATATGCATTAGAAATATCAAGAAGTCCCACTACACAGGTGCAAACAAGACAAAAATGTTATCAGTTGGTTGTATTCATGAACTCATGTACCCATATGTATGTAGGGGTTATATAAATAGCAAGAACATTAATTATAGAAGGCATGGGACGGGAACAGTAGGAGTTAAGAGGAGAAAGAGATTCTTAGCTTAAATGCAGTGCTTATCTATGAAATTCCTGATACATCATTATTGTAAGAAAGCTCAGAATAGAGACAAATCTGGTAGACATGGCAAGGAAGTACTGCAGTCTGAGGCAGAGGCAGGCCAGGCTGTGTGATTTCAAGGCCAGACTGATCTGGGTGGAGACTCTCTCTGTCTACATAGAGAAAGATCTGCACACAACAGGACAAAGGTACAAGCATGAGAAGCTAAGGTTCTCCTACTTTAAACACTTCTGCTCTGGGACACAGATGTGAGGCAGTGCCACAGCAGGAATCAGAACAAGACAAAGCAGAGCAAAGAAGGGTGTTGTCTAGGTCACAGCAAGGGTCATCATGGATCAATTAGAAACTCCAGGTCCACATAGAAAGAATAGGCAGCTCATCAAATGAGTGTCATCCTATCCATTACCAAGAACCATTCTGAACCATTTGTTTGGGATATGTGAGGGAAAATAGGTCTCAGACTTTCCCACACTGCAGAAAACAAAGCCCCACACGGGGAAGCCACACAGATTCCCTCTCACCATTCTTCTCATTTTCCTCTGGCTTTATACAGAAAATTTTCAAAGTGCACCTTTCTTTGGGACAGAATGTGCTCTGCAACCCTCTGCGCCTATGCTGAGGAATGCCATGCCCATAGCAGGAAATGTGTGCAACTTCTACAGGGTCTCCACCACAGCTGTGAGTGCAGCATGACTCCTGCCATCAGACTCTAGCACTTGTTGCCAGCAGCTCATTAACAGTGCCTACCCCTACCTACCAGCTGGCAAAACCATGGTGACTGCACTGACTGACCAGGGCCAGAGCACTGCCTCAGCACTCTCCTATCCAGGTGTTCTCCAGTGGGATCCCACAGGAAGAACTAACAGGAGGGAAACTGCACTCGGGACTTTACTATAACTGTCATTGACCACAATACCACATTCTCCTCCTTCTCTAGGACAGTCCAGGGTGATAATATTTTAGATTCCAATGCCATAGTCTTCTCCTATCCAGCCTTGTTCAGGCCACACCACCACAGTTGCCAAATCAAGGATACAGCATGGCACCTTCCTCCCAAGAAGGCGGCCAGGTCTATTACTATGACCTGAATAGCCTGCGCCCTCAGATGGCTAGAGAACTCGGGCAGTGCCTGCAGGCCTGTGGCTCTGTGTCCTCCTCTGGTGGTCAGGCCTCTGCCCTGCAACCAGTGATGGTGATGATGCCAAAGGAGATTCAGTCAATGAATGTCCAAACACCCTTCTCCACCTCTGCCATCTACTATCCCACACCTGCTCAAGAAATGCCAGACACCAGTCTTCAAGGTGAGTAGAGCCAGGAGGGAGGACTGAGATCAGCACTCAAAGCAGACACAGCTCAAACTTTCAGGAGTGGATGTCCTCAGGGAGGAAAAATGGGAGTCCTGAGAGCTCAGCCTTGGCCTGGCTCACCATCCCCATCTTCAGTCTCTATGATGAGTGACAATGCAGGGCAATGAGTGACATCCATCCTCCATTAAGAATGTCTATGAAACATATCTCAGACACACTCTACTGAACTAGCAAATCAGTTCCATGCACTATAATCACTACTTTTGTAATCTATTGCTCAAGGCTGTAGAGGACACCAAGGCCTCTCTGTTTGGTAACATTTTATTTTGTGTGTGTTGAATTCTGACTGTAGAGCAGTGCAACTCCAAATCTGTCCTGGAGGAAGTATTACTCCCAGAGTCCCAGAATGGCTGGCGCTGCCGTAATCTTTGAAGGATAAGTGCATTAAGAGTCCAGTATACCCAGTATACCAGTGTACAACTGCTAAGTTGGGCAAAGCTTTTCTCTCCTCTCTCTCTCTCTCTCTCTCTCTCTCTCTCTCTCTCTCTCTCT